CGTTACCGATTACTTTCGATTATCGATTCATTGAAGAATTAGCATTAGTGGTGTTCGTTACGAGAAATACAGATAAATTATTCAGAATGCGACTTTTATCTCGGATTTCGATGAAATTAGGCTTATTCGACGTGCCTATATTACTGTAATAATAATGACGAATGATTTTATCGTTTAATTATCTTTTTATAACAAATATTTTTTCAAATTCGTTATAATCATCCGTTATTGGAAGACTGATTTAATTTTTTATTAAGGTCAAAATGATTTAAAAAATCAAGTATAAGAGGAAAGACTAATCTTATTTCTTTTCGAGCACGATATAGTGCTACTGTCGTTTCTTCTTTTCAAAGTTTGTCTTAAGTTAAGAAAACATTAATAATTTAATTTTCTGTTAAAACTGAAATATTTCTATTATAATTTTGTTACCAAAACCCTCTTAATAATAAAAACCCACCTTATAATAAAAAAACTCTCTAGTATATACCTATTTTTATCTCTGAAAATAGTTCAAACGTAATATATTAGTATTGGTACTTTTTACCCCATTATGTGGAATTTCTTGCCCCACAATGGGGTAAAAAGTGCCGAATGACTTCCTCTGTAAAATTTATGATATCTTTGTAATGAAGGGTACATATGCATACTTTCTTGCATGTATTTTATAGTCAAAGGACTCTAGTTTCGAAAAATATCAACACGATCTGTGTGAGTTAAATATTCTTTATTTTATAGCAAAAAATGTCAAAAGTGGCCCTTTACTCCCCGGTCTACCCTATGTTAATTTCGATCTCTTAACTTTTATTTAAATTTTTCCAATCTCAGTATTTTTCGAATATTCGCCTTAGTTCAATGACTCATTTTTCCTCATTTTAATTGCCTTATTAATATATATTTTGAATTATTTGAAAATTCTTTTAATGACAAACAAAACACAAATAAAAGTAAATTTAAAAAAAAAATGACAAAATTTTATAGAATATGGAGATGTACATGTTTGATTTATTCATTGTCTAGTAAAATGTCTATGACCATCGATCATAATTTTAATTTTTTTCCTGCTATATCACTGCATAACTACTCTCGGAAGAGATAGTACTTGCTAGATGTTATATGAAAAATAACGAAGTTATTAAATATTTAGGCTACATTCCAAAACGTCATTTCC